GCATAATTTTCGGAGGCCCGCTTGGTCCATGTAAATCCGCCCCTGTATACGGCTAAAATATTTGTTAACATCATTTGAACAGTAGTCTTTTAAGCTCAAACACTTGCCATTGTTTGATTTTTGTTTATTTCTTAAATGAAGTATAATATTGTACTGTAACTTACTGAAGGAAATGTGATTTCTGTGTAGCTATAGGTTTTCAAACAGAACAAAAATGATTCTTTGATTTTACCACAAATTTCTTGGAAAATCAAGCTGCATTTAACTTGGAAAGTTTTTGCCGAGGGTCCATCGGAAACAGTCTCTCTGCCCTTACAGGGTGGGGGTAAGGCTGCGTACATCCTACCCTTCCCAGACCCCACTATTACACTAGATTGTTGTTTTATTTAACTTGGAAAGTTTTTAATTTCAGCTCAAAGTGGAGGTGTGGGATCAAGCAAGACAAAGAGAGTTGTAATAGCTGCTGGGATTACAGTTGGTATAGCTATTGTGCTATTTGGAGTAATCCTCTACTACTTATCAAAGAGAAGAAAATATCAAGGTTCAGTACGAACTAAGTCTGAAAACAAAGGTACTGGAGACATCTGTCATAATTAATAAGATTGTCTAATATGAAATGCTAATGAATATTTCTTATGATTCAAACCAGGCATTAGTGAAAGAAGTCAAGAACTTCTAATGAATGCAGCTATCATTCCAAGTAAAAGAGAATTTTCTGGTGAAACTTCAGCAACAGAAGAGTTTGACTTACCATTATTTGATTTCAGCACCCTAGCTATCGCTACAGAAAATTTCTCTGATGCAACTAAGTTAGGTCAAGGTGGTTTTGGTTGTGTTTATAAGGTAAATGCTGAGTTATATGTAAACCATACTGGTATAATAAAGAAAAAAGATGATCAATCAATCAGATACTTTTTTTGATCAGGGAATTCTGGTTGAAGGTCAAGAAATAGCAGTCAAAAGGCTCTCAAAGAATTCGGGCCAAGGAGTAGAGGAATTTAAGAATGAGCTAAGATTGATTGCTAGGCTACAGCACAGGAATCTAGTCCGGCTTCTTGGCTGCTGTGTTGATATGGAAGAAAAGATGCTGATCTATGAATACCTGGAAAACAAAAGTTTAGATTCAATTTTGTTCAGTAAGTATTTTTTCGTTATATTGTCTTCATGAGGGTAGCAAGTCACATAATTCTCTAACTTACGTAATTTGTAATGACTCACATTTCAAATATGCTCTTCAGATAAACATAAATGCTCGCTGCTGGACTGGCGAAGGCGGTTCAATATTATTTGTGGGATTGCTCGGGGGCTTCTATACCTTCACCAAGATTCAAGATTTAGGATTATCCATAGAGACCTTAAAGCAAGCAATATTCTCCTTGATAAGGATTTGACCCCCAAAATATCAGATTTTGGCATGGCAAGAATTTTTGGCGGTGATGAGACTGAAGGAAATACAAAGAGAGTAGTTGGAACCTAGTAAGCACAAAACATAAACTTTCTTCACACAATTCGTAGAATCCTTCAAAACTGCTTCTAATCCATTTTTCTTTTGATGCAGTGGTTACATGTCTCCAGAATATGCAATGGATGGCCTCTTCTCTGTTAAATCTGATGTTTTCAGCTTTGGGGTTTTGGTGTTAGAAATTGTAACCGGGAAGAAGAACAGGGGATTCTATTATCAAAATAACCAACTCAACCTTCTTGGACATGTAAGTTCACCAATCATATGTTAGCTTCATTCCTGGCAACGCGTTCATCATTTCTTATGAAAAACTAATTGATTCTGCAGGCGTGGAGACTATGGAAAGAAGGGAGAGGCTCAGAGTTACTGGATCCAGCTGTAGGAGAAACGTTTTCTCCGTGTGAAGTAATGAGATGCATACAAGTTGGCTTGTTGTGTGTCCAGGAGCAAGCAGAAGATAGACCAAACATGGCTACTGCGGTTTTGATGTTAGGCAGCGAAAGCGCATCACTGCCTCAGCCTAAAACCCCAGGATTTTGCCTTGGCAGAAGACCGGTTGATTCTGATTCACATTCAACTAATTATGAAGAAACTTGCACTGTCAATCAAGTTACAGTTACCATGATAGATGGCCGATAGTTGATGGTGTCATCCTCAAAAGTGTATATTACTACAAGAGGTTCACAATTTTCTCTTGTACACTTCCTCCCTTTTATGTTTTTGGGTAAATTTTGTGGAAGCTAAAGAGTATTAGGTATTCTTTCTCATTACATACAACAATTGTGAGCTCAGAAAGCTAGCTGTGCTTTTCTATCATCTATGTAAAAGTCTAATCATTCCTATTCCATATCTCTCAAGTTCACTGTAAATTGCTGTGCCATCATTGATGTGATTCAGAGGGAATAGTTTGTGCATTCATCTTCGCTGTAAGTTTTATCTCCCTACTATTACATCCCTCTTAATAACATGGTTCTTCTTTCTTTCCACGCGGTTGTGATGAAGATAGCAACATCTACATCAAGACCTATTGCACGGTAACATTGTGATGATTTGTTCTAAAACATGCAAACCTCCAATAAAGGAAAAATACCTCAAGAAGTAACAAAATACGAGAGGCCAGTTGACTTCAAGTGCTCAGCTAAAAGGATGGCATAATGATTTGATGAAGCAAACCTGATCTTTTTGTTGGACTCAGGTCCAACACTCGCTCATACCACTTATTGAATTTTCTGAACTAAGTATAGAACCACATTCTTAGTTATATAGAACTGATTATTACAAATCACTTAAACATTTCTTAGGTACCAGATATCAGAAGAGGCCTCACATTTGATCGTTTTGACAGGAGGAAGATAATTTCAGTCTTAGAATTATTTTTCATTTTCTCTTTCGAAGATTAAGGACCAGAGAATGATGATGTCAGTAGTGGTGGTAAATTCAGTACTATAATTGGAGTACAGAGTGGACCATAATGGTAAAGCTCAAAAGATAATTATAATCTGATAAGGTATGTAGTGGACTTCATTGAACTCTGATGATCCAGATTTTCACCCCAGCTCCACACGCTTGACTCATGACTGGCTATTGTTCGACTTGTCAGGAGGTTTAATGAGGAGATATTACTGTATTGTAGTGATAGAGATGGTTTTTTGAAACTTACTGGGCTGAAGTTACTAGATGATGTAGTATTTGAGGATTGTAAATTAGCATGTTTGAGCCTCTTTGGATTATGGAATATGCTATAATCAGTCCTCATGGTAATGGCAGCCACCAGTCATTGTGTAGTGTGCCTTGGAAAATTGTTTTATCGTATGAATCACTTGAGGAATAACATACATGTCCTATTGACTGATGAAGTTGGTCTATTTATGTAATTCAACCCCTAGTTCTGTTTTCTGATCTCTTCACTGGTGCTAGCCATGAAATGCAATTTCCTTTGCATGTAATGAATACCATATCAGTTACTGCTACTTTAAAGTTAAAATTTAATAAACAAAAATATTCAAATTTCCATTTTTTTCTTGAGATCTCATTTCTATATTTGCTTGGCCTGTTGGCTAAGCTAGACTCAAGTGTAAAGGCCAGAGGGAGAAGCTTATTATCCTATGCTCATCATTGGCATGTCTTTACTGTTTTTCATGGTTATCTTTACTGGACTACAACAACAAATCCAGTGGAGTCCCACAAGTGGGGTCTGTGGAGAGTAGTATGTACGCAGACCTTATAGCTACTCTGACGAGGTAGAGAGACTGTTTCCGATAGACCATACTCTGTGGAGGGTAGTGTGTACACAGACCTTACCCCTACTCTGGGAGATGTAGAGAGACTGTTTCCGATAGACCCTCAGCTCAGGAAAATGAAAAGAGATAATAGAAACAAACAATAACAACAACAAATGCCGGAAAGATAATACCAACAGTCTAAGAGCCAGAAAAATAGATGGAAAAAAGTAATAACAACAAGCAGTAATAACGACGAGCTATGAAGCGGAAGATCGTAAGAAAACATGTAATACAAGCAATCTAAGAACAAGACACTATCAGCCTAGACACTCGACTACCTACTAACTTTCAACTATAATCCTCGATCTTCGCACCTTCCTATCAAGAGCCATGTCCTCGGTAAGCTGAAGCTGCTCATGTCTTGCCGTTCACCACTCCCTAATACTTACCCGCCAAAGCCAACTGCTCACACCTTCTTACTGAGGCATCTAAGCTTTTCCTCTTGACATGCCCGAACCATCTAAGTCTTGCTTCTTGTCCTCTATGGGGTCACACCCACCTTTACCCGGATATCTTCATTCTTAATCTTATCTAACTTAGTATTCACTCACATCCATCTCAACATCCTCATTTATGTTACTTTCATCTTTTGGATATGGGATTTCTTGACTGGCCAACACTCTGCCTCATATAACATAGTCCGTCTAACCACCATTATGTAGATTTTATATTTAAGTTTTGGTGTCACATTCTTGTCACACAAGACGCCGATGCTAACATCCATTTCATCCACTCTGCCCACATACGGTATTTGACATCCTTGTTAATCTCCCCATCTCTTGGGAATGACTTGTGAATCGAGCCTCACGTCCATGTCCGCTCCCTTGTCACGTCGTTGAACTTGCACTCCAAGTATTCAGTCTTAGTCCTGCTCAACTTAAAACCTTTAGACTCTAGGGTCTGTTTACAAACCTCCAACTTCTCTTTACTAGACTAGACGTTTCTATATCGTTTTGGGAATTGCATGAGGGCTTCTTATCTTCATCAACACTCGAGGTAGAAAATTATCCCGAGGATTTTAAGACTAGCAATATTGTACTAAAAACCCAAACTTTAAGACTTTGACATATCTAGAATTCTTGGGAACGAACAGAAAGAGCTTCCGACAATGAGAGTCATCGTGATATAGTTACTATTTTAGTATTTTTATCTTCTTTTGCTTTTTCATTTCAATATGAATACCTGATCATGTTTTGTTAAAATTCAGAGGTTATATGTCCCCTTGAAATTTCAAATGTGATCAATTTTTCAGTCTGGGTTTAGCTTTGGTGTCCTAGCATTGGAGGTAATAGCTGGGCAGATGAATGCGAGTTTTCATCAACTAAGCATTCTACAACCTTATAGGACATGTAAGTAGACAATATGGTGCATTTAACTTCCTTTATGATTTTACTTATTTTATCTAAATTGCATTTCTTATTTGCTTTGCAGTTAACTTCCTTTCTGATTTTACTTATTTTATCTAAATTGCATTTCTTTCAAACAAATAAGCTTGAGGATGAGAATACTCTTGAATTCCTAAATAATTCTTTGCATGAGTCTTTCCTAGTGAGTGAAGTTATAATATGTATATAAGTAGAGGATAGGCAAGCAATAAGTTCTGCAGTTTCAATGATAAATATTGAAAATGCACAGCTGCCACAACCTAAAGATGTGTTTTCTGCTGAGGCTTCAACCTTGAAGATATGTTCAGCATCCACTGATACAACCATATATGGAGGCGAAGATGTCTAGATCCTAGTATAGTTTGCAGTAAACATGAATTGAACAGATTTCCTAAACAGACTAGCTCAGTAAGGAAAGATTTCATTTTAGTTAAAAGGTTACCCTTCCTCTGGATCCTATATCATGCTAAGTAACAATTATTACCATTCTCTGATTGCATGCTTAGGTAGTCTAATCTTGTTCTCGATTCCTAGTTGAGCAAATATGATTACCCAATACTTTCAAAACACCGACTAACCAAAGTACTTCCCTTGATGAAGAAGTGCTGTCCATTGTAAGGGAGTTGTACTATGGAACAGGAATGACGTTATGACATGCAATAATCCATGCCTCAAGTTTAAATTTGTTGTGTATTAGATTGATTTGTACAACACTTAGTTATAACATTGAAGAGGATGGAGGAATAAATAAAGAAGGAAACGAGCTGCCTTATCTTCATTAAAACTTAGAAATTCGTCTAGTTGAAATAACAAGCATAGATTGAGAACTGGTTCAGTCGCAATTATTGCGACTTATCTCCTTAATGTCTTTACCTTTTTGGAGTTGTTTTAAGTTTATGCATGGTCTGCCTAAACAGATACGTAATAGACTACGTTCTTTTGCAAGGCAAACACTCATAATTTACATAGGTCAAAACCAGTAGTGTCAGTTACGTTTCTTATGTGACTTATAGTTAACTTTTCCTAAAGGGGCAGGAAATATCTTTGGACTCTGAAGTATGCATTAATGACAGGATTATCTCTCAAAACAAATCTTCAAAGCAGATTTCACTAAAGAGTTAAAGAGCCTTGGATGTAACTATGTTTTCTCAAAAGAGGTTCAATTTGCAGATGTGTCTGGAGAAAACTCAACCAGATGAAAATGAACTCTTTTCATTTAGTGGAAAATTTTATTTATGTTAGAGCTAACAAAAGTTTGAACCATGACGGATATTCCGGTGTTCTCTCACCAAGACTTAAAAAGCATATTCCGTGAAAATGTAGTCAAATAATAGACAGTCGTCTGAATGTTTTATTTAAGATAAAGAGTGGATTTGCAAAAATTATAGAAAGTTTTAACTTTTCCTAGAGGGGCAGAGATATGACTTCGGCCTCTGAAGTATGCATTAATGACGAATTTATCTCTCAAATAAATTATCAATCCAAGGTTTTAATAAAAAGTTGAGGATCCTTGGATGAAACTGTGTTTTCTCAAAAACTGAACCAGATGATATTGAACTCATTTTTTAGTGGAAAATTTTATTTATGTTAGCTAACAATAGTTTAAACCATGAATGATATTACGGTGTTCTCTAAACAAGACTGCAGAAGCATATTCCGTGAAAATATAACCAAGTAATACATAGTCGTCTAAATGTTATATTTGAAATAAAAGAGTAGATTTGCACAAATTAAATTGTGACCTGATCTTTCAGTTAATGCTGACACAAATCCTAGTCTTCTTTTTTTGTCCTTCCTCTTAAGTAAAAAGATTGAGAAAACAACAAGGCTCATATGCATTTCAACTTGCCCTCAAGAACTAACCTTTTAACTTTTCCTCTAGATCTTTGCTATATATTCATTTCAATTAACAACACAGCTTTTTATCTAACATCAGCTGATAATTTAACTTAACACCAATTTGTGCTTGTGAAGATTTCAGGATGCATGTTGATTCTCTTCCTTGAATAAAAGAAATGAACACCATGTATAAGCCATTCTGATATATCTGCTTATGTAGTCCCTTTTAAATTTTTCCTATTTCTAGGCTAAGGTCTAAATTTTCTACCATTGTCTCCTAAATGCTTTTATTCTGCACCTGGCTATCACAAAGATGAAACACATGCCACATAGTGAAAAACTTAAATCACTTTCTCTTGAAGAAGCCTATTTAACATTGAACTCTCAGTACTTCTCCATGTAAAAGCCTAACCTGAAAGCTTAACTTGAATTCAAAACCTTTGATTTCCATAGCTCTCTCCTATCTGGGCAAGAAAGCAATGGCTGCCATACTTTCTTGGCTATTCACTATCTGTCTTCTGCATATCTCCATAACCTTATATGCAAATTGTGTTGCTGCAAGTGATACTTTGATTCCATATCAAGTCCTCAGGGATGGCGAGACTTTAGTTTCGTCCAACCAAAGATTTGAAATGGGATTTTTTGGTTCTACTACACCATTTCGGCACACAAGGTACCTGGGATTGTGGTACAAGGGTATAGAGTCTGGTATAGTATGGGTTGGCAATAGATTGAATCCACTTGGACATGGTGCAAGGCTTGTATTCGATGTACAAGGATTCATTTTTCTCCAAGATGATACAGGAAAGAAGGTACCGATTTATACGCCAAAACAGATTGTTCTCTTGCCAGTTTTGCAGCTCCTTGATGCAGGTAATCTTGTGTTTCGAGAATCTAGCAATCTTTTAGCAGGAGAGTACCTGTGGCAAAGCTTTGATTATCCTGTCGATACATTGTTACCAGAAATGAAGCTTGGTTGGGACCCGAAAACTGGACTTAACCGAGCCATGAATTCCTGGAGGACAAGTGATGATCCAGCTCCTGGTGAGTATTTCTTCAGGTTAGAGTCAGGTGAGTCAGGTCAGTCACTCCAACTAGTTCTTGAGAAAAAACAGCAAAGAGCTTCAAGGTGGGGTCCTTGGGATGGACAAATATTCAGTGGCGGTGATGCCCTCGTGGACGAGCTGGTACTCAGACCAGTATTTAACTCCAAAACTGGTGCATTTTATGTTACATTTGAAGCCAAGAACGACAGCAGATTGAAACTGTCACTGAATCCAGAGGGTAAGATACAGTTCCTGAAATGGACAAATGCCACTGGCTGGATTCAAGTGAAGGTCCTGAATAAGGACATATGTGACAATTATAGGACTTGTGGGCCTTATGGAGTTTGTTTCGTTGAGAATCCATCCTGCCGGTGTCCTGATGGTTTCACGGCTACATCACCAGATGACTGGGACAAGATGGATTATACCAACGGATGTAGGAGAATGACTCCTCTTAATTATACTGACAAAGATATGTTTGTGAAGAATACTGGACTGAAGTTGCCTGATAATGCAACTTACTGGGGAATGTTGTCCCCAGAGGAGTGTGGAGAGAAATGCTTGAATGAAAGATCGTGCATGGCTTATACTATCATCAATATCAACGGAAATGTCAGCAAATGTTTCGTTTGGTTGGGAGATTTACTTGATATGAGACATTCGGAAAAAGCTGGGAATGATATTTATATACGGATGACACACGGAAAACTAGGTAAAAATTATTGACAAGTTCTATGATTACCTACTTGTGAGACGATAACTGTGTCAATGCATTAATTATTATTAGTATGGTGCAAAATTACGCGTGCATAAGTGACATTTGAAGGGTGAAATAGTTAACTGTTGTGTAAGTTAGTTATTGGCGCACGCACATTCATTAACAGAATTCCCCATATTAATAAGTACTCCATATTAATAAGTTAGTTATTGGAGTACTAGATTAACTGGTTCATGCAGATTAGTTATTATTTGTTTTATTTTTGGCCGAAACTTGCTTTTCAAATGAATCACTCATCCCTTATCTCAGAAGGAAATGTTATATTTTAGCTATTTTCAATCTAAGTTTTGAAGATGGATATGCATCTCCACTCCATGTTATCTTGAAACAGTAGGTATGTTTGAAGCATTTTACTGAATGTTGTCGACTTAAATGCTACACAATCTAGCAAAAGATGAAACCAACCTGAATGCAGCTGGTCCTTCTCATTACAAAATCTTTTAATTTTGTACTCACAGAATAAGCAAATATCTGAAGAAATCCCTTCAAGTTTGCTGCTTAAATTATTAAAGCTGAAGTCTGATTTCATGAAAAAGAAACAACTAACACTTCTTTCATATGAACAGAAGCAGCTGTTGCCCCTGGGAAAAGGAAAAGGAAAAGGAAAACGAAAATGAAAACGAAATGGATAATATGTGTTTCTTTAACCTCAATGCTGGCACTTCTTATCTTCTCTCTACATAATCAGGTCCGGCGTCATGCAACAAAGACAGATGTGCTAGGTAAGAAGATTCACCTTTTGCCTCTTTTATATTATTTTCATAGTTCTTCATTACAGCCCAAGCTTAGTTTCACTCAAACACTATTCTTGAAGAAAAATTCCTTTAACTCTTGATGTTTAATTCTTGACACGGGAAAGAGTGATCAGAGACATTAGCAATGAAAAGAAGTTCCTTATACCCCCAGGCCGCTAACTAGAGTAGTTTTTTTTTTTTTTTCATTAGCAAACACATGACCCTGTAAGCTAGATAGTGTGCAACCTCTAGTAAGGTATGATTCACTTCCATAATTGTCTAATTAATTTATTTTCTCAAAAGAATATCTTTTTCTGAACAGATGAACCAGAGATTAATCAGCCTGGAAACTCTGTAGAAGCTTTGCTGCAGGGCGCAGATGTCATTGCATATGATTACAGTGCTCTATCTGCAGCCACTAACAATTTCTCGCTGTCTAATAAGATAGGTCATGGTGGCTTTGGCAATGTTTATAAGGTTATTATTTCTTTTCAACAAGCATGGACATGCATATTTACAGTAACTAAGACAAATCATGGCAGAAATTTAATACTCAAATAATACACATACTTAATCTGTAGGGTGTATTAGATACTGGAGAAGAAATAGCAGTGAAGAAGCAGGAAGTGACTTCACGTCAAGAACGAGGAGATAAGGAGTTTGAGAATGAAGTCAAATTAATAGCAAAGCTTCAGCATCGTAACCTAACCAAGTTATTGGGATACTGCATTCATGGAAACGAAAAGTTCCTGGTCTATGAGTTCATGGCCAATAATAGCCTCGACAAGGTCATATTTGGTATGACAGCTTAAATAACAGTTCTGTTGCACATTTGTTCTGTATTATTTTGAATTATAAAAAACACAAAGGACAGAAATTTGGGACAGTCCGAGTGAAATTGAGTAACTGTTTGCTTGTATCATGTCCAGATTCTGCAAGAAGGGGTAAGGTAACATGGTCAATGCGCTTCAACATTATCAAAGGAATTGCAAAAGGATTAGTTTACTTGCATCATGATTCAAGGTTGACAATAATCCACCGAGACTTAAAAGCTAGCAATGTCTTGCTAGACAGAGAGATGACACCCAAAATATCTGACTTTGGGTTGTCAAGGGCTTTTGAAGATGATGTTGAAGAAAAGACTCAGTATGTAGTTGGAACACGGTAAGTAGATATCACTCATTATTATTAAGAGTAGACGTTTATGTACATTTTAGAATTTTTTCCTGATGTTTTTTTGTTGTGGCTGCAGTGGTTATATGCCACCTGAATACTTAGAAGATGGACATTATTCAACAAAATCAGATGTGTTTAGCTTTGGAATTTTGGCATTGGAGATTGTCAGTGGCCAAAAGAATTGGGGTTATCAGCACCCAGTCCATGATATTGGTCTAGTAGGCTATGTAAGTATATCATCACAAGGTTATCATTATTATTTCACTTTCTTAAATTGGTTACACAAAAGTTTCACCTTGTGCTAAAACATTGTACATGTATGATCTTTCGATGATCAGGCTTGGAAAATTTGGAATGAAGGGAAGGCCGTAGAACTACTGGATCCAATGATAGAACAATCAGGCGATGGGAATGAAGTTTTACAATGCATCCTTGTTGGGCTTTTGTGTTGTCAGCGACGTGTCCAAGACAGACCTTCAATGGTTCAGGTGGTTTCCATACTAGAACAGAATGAAACGTCAAGGTTAAATTGTGTGCCCGTGGAACCTTACATCCCTAGAGAGTGGAGTAACAGTTCCAGGAGCCGCAACAGTGTGAATGGGGTAACTATTACTGAACTCACCGGAAGATCATGATGACCTAAATTCAATAAACAAATGCACAGAGAACAAACTCAGTCAATGTAAGTAGGTCTGGAGTTTTGTTTCTTATTCCGTTTACTAGTATAATTTGAAACTATGAAAATGGCATTCCTGCTGGCAAACAACCCAAGAAGCTTAAGCTGACCTTCCTATTTTGGGAGCTTGCAAGTGGGAATTCTAGGGAAACTAGTATTTGCTAAGAAAAGGATCATTTATCACCTTTATAAAGGCACTGACGACCTTTTCTAAATTAGAATTTATGTATCTTGTTGAGTTTTGGGTGGCTTCATGCAATGCAAGACATAATAGTTTTTTTATATATTTCGTCTTTTCAAGAGGAAGTCATGGGTTCGAGCCGTGGAAACAGCCTTTTGCAGAAATGCAGGGTAAGGCTGCGTACAATAGACCCTTGTAGTCCAGCTCTTTCCCAAACCCCGCGCATAACAGGAGCTTAATAATGCACTGGGCTGACCTTCATATATTGTCTTTTCAAGAGGCACCAAATTTGGCAGTGTCTCTAATAGTTCTGCTTTTTCTTTAGCTTGAAATGATACAGTATGCTTAATGAATTACAAGCACCTTATCAAACAGGATCTTGATTATTTGGTTATTAATGCGGTTGATATTAACAAAATCTATAACATCATTGAATTTGATATTTATGGTGCCCGGAGATATTGGATTCACTTTGTTTGACCAAACATATATATTCTGGTTCAACTAATTAAATTTATATAAACAAGGATTAATCTTGGTTAGTAATATTATCCTAATGAAATTCTCAGTAGTGATAAATAACGCGTAGATCTATTCCAGAAGCTATGACGGTGCACAATTATCAATATTTTAGAACCCAAATAGAAGTAATGTAGCATTAAATAGCGATCAACAACAATAAATATCATTTATGTAAATAAATGCAAAGGAGTCACCCGAGAAAGCATAAAATCAATAAATATTCTTTATGACAATCAAGAGTGACGGATAAGCCTTTGAGTGCCCGAGATATTCTCGGATCCAGTAGAAAAGTGTAGACAAGAATCTCAGTGAAAATATTGTTTTTGTGTACTTTTGATGAGATCAGATTTTCTGTAAAATTAAAGTATATTTTACCGGTGAATATCCCATGCCCCCTATTATTGTGCCTCTTTCTATTAAATAGGAACATGTTCCTAAAACCCTAATAGTACAGATACAGAGAATACAACAACAACAAACCTAGTTTGATCCCAACAGCCACTAGAATATTCTCTTTAATGTCCTATCTTGAGACTAGCCGTTATAACTCTGTCAAGGGTATTTAACACCGGCCTCGATTATTGATGACTCCTCGACTTTATCCCTTAACTCTTCCACCACGGCCTTCGTTGTTGCTTAGATCACTTCGATACGTGGCTGCCTAGGAATGTTTCACTAAATGCCACTTTGACTTAAGTATTCTAGTGATAGATTTTGACCCATATACACTTCTATCCATATTTGCCCAAATATGGCGTATATCATAGTATAAATTTTTACACTTTCGGATTAGGATGTATGTAAATAACTCTTTCTGCCAACAAGAATGGCTGGTTCAGAAGGTCAACATATCTTGGTTATCAATATGAATTTAGACATCAGTTTCTTAATTTTCTATTTAAGTATTTAGAAACTACAGGAATTATTATAAATAACAATGTTTTGTTGTTAGTTATATGTAAGCAAATGTTTGAACAAATTCTTTTTATTGGATGTCCCCAAAGGGACACTGTTTGAACGAACCATAGGTAAAAAAAAAATGATAATTTTTTTATACAGAAACTTCAAGCTTCCTCAACTTAAAACCCAACTCTTAATTTCACTAAAATTAATAATGACGTAATAACAAGTTAGAGATATATTTATCTCCTTTTCTAGTGAGTTTTTTTGTTACAGATTCGAATTTAACTACGTGGCCTAATTGCACGGTGCTGAGTGAAGAACTGAATTATCACACATTATTAAATGGAAGAAAACAAAAGTTGTTGATAAAAAGACAAGATATAAGATTTAAAGTCAATAGATTTCAACTAAATATATTTATACAAATCTTTTTAATTTTCTTATTTAGGATTGTGATCGCAACAGTAGCAAAGACTTTTAGTAATCTGGATCCATCAATGATCCTACACTTGCATAATATCTCGTACGTGTACATCTTAATTATAACATGATTGAAGAAATTAAACAACATATAGTGAGAGTGATATACAGGTGCGGATCCACCTTACGACCTACGGGTTCACGCAAAGGCGGATGTAGAGTGTTGACGACGAGTTCAGTTGTACTCATAACTTTCCATGCGGAGCAAAAATTTATGTGTAAAAATTCCTTAAAATTATAAAAATAGTAGATGTGAACCCATAACTTTTAAAATATAATGGGTTCAATTCTAAAGCCTTCAAAATTGAACCCAAATAAATCTTGGATCCGCTCTAGGTTCACGTGAACCCAGTAGATTTTGTTCAAACAATGTAAGTGTGTTCCAAAAATTTATTAAATATCTATAAATATTTAAATGTGAACCCATTTACTATTGAAAATTTACTCGATGTGGTTGCAAACTTGCAGGAACCCATAAACTGAATTATGTAACTCAATAACTTACCTTTGCTCTTTGGCAACTCGAACTTCCATCCAAATGCAAGGATTGAATTGGTCAAAAGGAATTGAACTTTCAATTTCACGTGCTTCAAAACACATAACCATGGTTTAATTCATGTATTCGTCCAATACATTATTTTCTGAGGTTTAGAGAAATAATACTTGTAGAAACGAAAATCACATAAATATATTGGTATGAGTAAACATCATATGCATGGTTGTCATTACCGGTGTACATAGGTCGGGTTGGTTTGGGTTTTGCAATTACCAAACCAAACCAATTGTGTCAGGTTATTAAATCTAAAGACCAAATCAAACCAATAAAAGTCGGGTTTTTTAATCTCGGTTTTTCTCGAGTTTTTGGGTTATTTCGGATTTTTTTTCATAAAGTCTTCATAGAACAAAACATAGAATTTGTACTCCAAATATTTCTTTGATCCTAGTAAGACATAACTATATAAGGTGGTTTTCAAGAAAATAACATAAAATATGAGATGAGCTATGGCATTGTATTAAAATATTCAACAATAAAGATAATAAAATCGCATAAAATAAATATTATTAATAAGCCATAATAAAAAATAAATATAATTAAAATTACTAAGTTGCTAAAATAAGTACGACTAACAAGTACTATTTTTGCATGAGTAAACTCTATAAAAAAAATAAGTTGTGCATTTTATCTAAACCATGGAAACTAAAAATATAGATATCCAACACTATTTCATTCCTAGTACAATTTAATTGAATGTCATTTATTGGTATTAATATTGAGTATAAAACTTATTGTAGCATTCAAGAATTATAAGTCCAAGTTTAAAATAATATGTTAAAAACTAAAATTATGAAAATATTTAAGAAATATTTATAAACTACACTACAATAAATATTTTTATGTACTAAATATATTTAAAACTTCTATACATGTAATGTCGGGTTGGTTTGGTTCGGTTTGACTTTTTTTAGTTAAAACCAAACCAAACCAATTATGGTCAGATTTTTTTTCCCAACACCAAACTAAATCAATCCAAACCATAATCGGGTTTTTTTTTTGTCGTCTTGATTCGGATTATTGATTTGTTACGGTTTGTCGGTTTACTTTGTGTACCCCTAGTTGTCATTTTCTATGTTTCATATGAGAAGGAAGAAATATACAAAATATATATTGTGCTTTAACAAAAGGTGTGGATTAAAGCAAAGGATTCATTCTACAGATGTCATGCCCCGAACCTGGGCCTAGACGTAACACGACACTCGGTGCCTAACTACATGTGACCGAGCGAACCAACTGGCTGGCTGAATCAACATGTGATATCATAACATACTAAATGCAGAAGATAAACTAACACATGCTGATACATTGAAAGTCTGAATTATATAAACCGAAGTGCGGAAATATGAATACATTTTTGAAACATATTTGCAGCAAACATAGCTTAACATGAAAAACTTGAGACTCTGTCTAACTGTTACTCTAGTCTATGAAGCCTCTAATGAAGTACTAAAAACACTGATTGTCTGTAAATACTGAAAGACTGTAAAGTAATGATAATGCCCCGAAAGAACTGGGATCACCAAATAGCTGGTACGAGAATCCTAGCGCTCTGAATCATCAACCTGCAAATGATTACCTGCATCGTGAGATGCAGCCCCGGGCAAAAGGGACGTCAGTACATTTGAATTGCACTAGCATGTAAAGCTAACTGAGAATTAAAAATGCTAAACCTAAAACTAACATGATAATTGAGAATTGATAATTGATAACTGAAATTATAACTATTGAAACTGAAACTGAAATGATAACTAATAACTGAACTGATAACTGATAACTGAATTGATAACTGGTAACTAAAATGATAACGGGTAACTGAAATGATAGCTGATAACTCAACTGAACAAAGGAAGTAAGGATATGAATACTCCCTCTTTTGAATGATGAACAACCTGTTTATCTGAATAAGCTATGGACTCGGGCCCAATATATATGTGCACAAGCTACGGCCTCAGGCCCAAGTATACATATACATAACTACGGCCTCAGGCCCAAACATGCATAAAGCATAAACTACGGCCTCAGGCCCAAACATGCATAAAGCATAAAGAGTGGCCTCAGGCCCAAGTATGCATAAAGTATATAAACTACGGCCTCAGACCCAAATATAGGTGTTCAACATTCAGGGATTTAAAATCAGGAACTGAGAATCATATTGTAATACATGATAGTGAAGTACTGAATCACACTGAGTTACTTGATACTAGAATACTGGATCACACTGAGTTACATAATACTGGAATACAGGATCACACTGAGTTACATAATACTGGAATACTGAATAGGGCTAGACTGAGATATGTATTCTTGAACTGATTATGAACACTGAAACTTCAACTGTTTATGGCATACTGAGTAATCTATACTAAGACTTGGGGGCATCAAACCCAAGTCTATATTGAATATGCACTGAGCTCACAACGTTCAGAATGAATGTCATGAACGAGTTATGAAGCTAGAGAATAGAAGTTCTACAACTATTCAAAGAACTAGGCTAAACTATATTTCTGAGGCAATTAGTAACGTGGTAAAAGAAACTTAGTGTAAGGAGAATCATTAATGTTCCCAAACATAGAGAGTTAGCCTCACATACCTCAACTTCCTGCTCTTGAGCATAATACAACATTCGCCAACCCTTTCAACTT